TTTACGCTAACGAAGGTCCTTTTGATAAAGCTGCAGATAAACTCTTTAAAAGTCTTCGCGCAATTAACAATACAAGCACTGAGACCAGTAAAGTTGAAAAAGCCAGCAGTTTACTGGATTTTGTTAAGGCGAGTATTGTAGTTATTATATTGCTCTGTAGTACTGTGTACTGTAGCAAGGTAAGGGTCTCTATAATGAGTATTGCCTCATTCTGCAACAGGAAGAAAGCTGTTAGCCCATTCTTCTATAGCTGTTAGCTCGTTGTAGTCTGCTAGCTTTTGATTAGAGAGTCGATCTCTTATTGGCTGTTAGCTAAACCACGACTAGGAGGGTGGCTGTTAGCTAAACACTCTGATGGCTGTTAGCTGTGTCGTGGCTTGCTATAGTACACTATTGGAAAGGTGCAAAGAAATTTTTTTTTGTGAATTTATTTAACAGGTCTTTCATTTTCTAAGGACAAACGTGTAGAATTATGCAACTTCTGGCACGATACAAAAAAGGAGATAGATCTTCATCGGATAGAGCAGGAAAAAAGAAATTTGGAGCTTCAAAAGGCAATCCTTCAAAATTAGCTGTACGGACACATGACGAACTGACTACAATTATATTTGTAATGAATATAGATTAATGGCGTTATTCAAGCTGTAAAACACGTTCAACGTTATGCTGGTGCTCTGTGTGATAGTGCAATTGTAACCTTGAAACTTGCGTCCAAACCTACAGTATTGGTAGAAAAGGTAAGATGCTCATGGGATTCTCGTGTAACTTGTCTTGTTTCTATTAGCAAACATTGTATGTAACTACGAATGAATGCGAATTTAAGAATGTGAGTGAATCGCCCGCAGAGGAAGTCTTGGATAATGAAATTACTCTAACAAGTCAAAGCCATGATGAAAATGACTCTGATTTTCATAAGCAAAAACGACGTCGATCTAAAAGTGGAAAAACAAAACCAGACTATTCTGATCAAATGTTTGAAGAAGAGAACGATTTTAAAGTCGAAACTCGTAAGAGATCTAGAAATAATGTTGACAATGTTTTCGAAGATCAAGAAGAATTAGGAGATGGATCAAGTTTCGTTTCGGAAGATGCGCCATGTTTTGGGATGGGCTATAATGATGTATATATTCCTATACTTATTATATAAAAGGAAAATCTGATAATTATTATTATAAAAATAGGGTTTAAACTATCATTTCAACCGGGAAATTTTAGAAATTTATAATAATGCAGAACAATGGTAAATAATAATTTAAGTTTATAAAACGTGATAGTCTATACTAAAATGTACTGTATATGATTGTTTAGTGATCCTATCAAAATGGGAGTGATAAATCTTGAAGATCCCCGAAAGAACCAAACAAGACCGTTTAAGGTGATTTCGGAAATGTTTAAGAAAGACTTTAGAAGATGTGCAGACGATTATATAAATTCAGAGGTGAAGACGATGTTGATTGAAATAGGGAACATTTCGGATGTTTCTGCAGCAAAAAGCTTTGTATCTAAATACAAAGAATTGGAATCATTCGATTTTGATTTAGCTTCAGTAATTCAAAGTTTCGTTGTTTCGATCGCCCATACATTGTAAGAATTATGTAAATCCATAAACTAGAGTTTGGAGCACGGAAAAAAATTAGACAAGCCCTTTTAAATCTGACAGTTCGCGAGTTTGCAACATTCTAAAAGCTTCGTATATTTATTTAGTATTTACATTTCTGCTCTTATTAACCAATCAAGTATTCTTTAAATATCACGTGTCTCGTACCCTGTGCCCCAAACCCTACCATAAACTGATTTTAAAAAGCGTTAACAAATTTCCATTTTTAGCACAAGCTACTTTAGTATGAACGAAAATTATTTCCAACAACCATTGTCAGAAAGTCATATTGCATCAATTATACATGTACCTATTATCATGAATTTATTTCGCAGCAAACATTACTTTATCAGTATAAACAGGTAAAAAATTTTTATTTATTTTAAACTGATATTATACAATTTTTTTTATTTTAATTATTAATAGTATGCTTATCGCAAACAAAAATCGTAGAAATTCAGACAACGACTCGAGAACACGGCGTGGCATGATTCCTGACATTAAACTTCTCTTTATTAAAAGGAACGTAGAAATTGTAGTAGTCGAACATGCGAAGAATACATCTAGTGATGGGCGAAAGAAGAATATAGATGATAAACAAAAAATTATAGTATTGATGCAAAATCAAATAACAAAGATACATAATCTTTTGAAAGAAGTTGATAGAGAAGATGAGATTAAAGAAATTGAAGTATATGGTATTGTTACATCAAGTAAGTAATTGTATGATGACTACATGACCTTTTGTTTAAAAACCTAAATCATTTTGTAATTTCAGAATTAGAAGTGGAAATTTATGTCATGCATCTATCAGCTCCAGGATTATACCTTTTTTATAAGATATTTAGTTTTGAACTACCAAAAACAGTTTGTGATTTCGATATGCTTGACAATGTGCTGAGTTGTTTGATTCGATTTCGTGTATGTTTATTTCCTTATTTATTTTCAGATATTATATTTGGTTTTATTAACGAATTACAACAAATTTCTATATAGAAAATTGTTGATAACAACTATATAAGATACATTAGTATTCTCAAGAAAGATCCAGTGGGTTGTGAAGATTAAACAATCTCCACATACAATAAATGAAGAACGAAAGTGAAGAAGAGACTGTTAATTTCTAAGAAAACTAAAAATCAGTTCTATTCATTAAAAATAAAACCGGCAGAATTTATGTAAATCGTGATGGAAAATTTTCACGTTATTACTGCAGGTGGTAGTGTGACCCAACAACACCAAGGCGTAGGATCTTTTACTGTCACATGATTTCCCGACGTCTATACGTCAATCAGTCAATCAAAGATCAGGATCAGGTGTAACGTAAAGAAATTCATTTCGTTTGTTTTCTGAGTATCACGTGACAGTAAAATCGATCCGACTCCCTGTCAAATAATCCAAATAATCCAGCAATTAGTCATGCGTCTACGTATGAACCAACCAACCAACCAACCAATAATAGGATTAGTTTTGCTATTTAATACTGTAATACATGTAATATACTTGTTTAAATTGAACCTCTCGCCCACTACATTATAATTTCAAGGAGCCTAAATAGAAACATAAAACTCACAATACTAAACATTATTACAAAGCCTTTGCCCATTTTATACGATTAAATTTTTTTTTTCAAATAACCGATAGAATACACGCAACCACTAATCAAATTTAAAAAATTTTAATTGCAACATTAAAAGTTTACAAACATTAATATTAACAAATTTTTGATTGTAATAATGTTATATATTTTAGCAATCTTCGATCTCATCTTCACTATTCTTGTCATCACTATCATAATCCTCTTCACAAATAATTTGTTTATTTGAATCGTTAAAGATTCCATTACCGATAACATTACTTTTAAAACTATCAAGAGTAATATTATGAGATATATTTTTGTTTATTGCACCCAATGCTTCAAGTCTTTCGTGTGATCTACGTCTTTCTTGTTCAGCATGTAACAATTTGTTATATTCTATGTTAACGTATGCATCGATTTCGCTTACAGTTAATAGATTAGAAAAAAAAAATAAAAATAAAAAAATTAGAATCTTAACTACAAACTATATTGACAAAATTTTCAATACTTACTTCATTTCATCTAATTGTTGTTGATAATGTTCGTAAGCGATAAATTTAGAAATATTAAAAAACATATCAAAGAACTGGGGAGCATTTTGTTTACACCGTTTAAGATCTTTGAGAGTTATTACGTACGGATTCGAAGGTTTGATCAAGTCGAACCTTTTTAAAAAAGAAATTTAAACAGACAATTATTTAATCATGATGGACTTATGAATAATAGTAAATTATAAAACTTACATTTGACAAATGCAATCTTTAAATTTTATTGGTTCTAGACCAAAAAGTTGCATACGATTAAATTGTTCTTCATAAAACCATTCAAGTTCGTATACACTTAACACCCCATCACCATCGCAATCTAAACATCGAAACCTTAAACATACCCCCAAAAAAGTAATAATAATTAAAATCTAAAGGCTTTTTATTATATATACAGAAAATTTTTGAGAACATACCAATATTCAATAGAAGTGTTTGTAGATTTATCCACTTCTGACAAGAGAAACCCTATAAGTGTTGTCGATTGCGTAAATCATAATAGTAAGAAACATTTCAAGAAAAAGTAAATTGATATTTGAACTGATATTTGATATTACATATAAAATCTCTATAACTCATTTTTGGATTTTTCGGGTCATGTTCTTTTGGTGACAAATCAGTCATTTTTCCATATCCGTGCATTACACGATCAACCATCCTTGTGGTTAATGCATTATCGGAATATTGAGCAAGATCTTTTTTACTTATACGTAAATCGTAATCATTATCAAGTTCCCAAAATTTACAATATATTACATAAAAATGTTTATACGAAAAGTAATCGCAAATCTGAGAAAGAATAATGTAAAATATCAACAAAAAAATATATATATATTTATAAATTTATGAATTTGTATTTATATATGTAATATTAATTAGCTTACATGATTTAGATCAACTTTTGATTCCAAGTTTCTCAACATTCCTGGTAAATCCATTCTTTTAAATTCTTTGTAAGTCATTTTACCAGACCAATTTCGATTATAATCATAAAAAAGGCGACAAATTACAGTTTCGACTTAAAGAAAAAAAGAAATACACGAATTAAATTATTTATTCAGGACGTAGAGATATGGAATATAAACATGCACACCATAACGTTCTCGAAATACGAGATTTTTTCTCAGAAACTCTAGTCCAGGATGGGTCATTACGATATCTTCAAGTCGAAAAAAGTAATTACCATCATTAGCACTTTCAATTGTTTTAAAATTATGTTCATTCCTAATATACCTTTCAAAACTGTAATAAAACTATCAATGGTCAAAAAATAATTCTTATCACTTCGTAGTATGTTAAAACATAATGACGCTTCATCATTTGAAGTTTTTATAAGCGTTTTCCATATTCTTAAAAAAAATAAATAAATAAATAAGCAAAAAGCCAAAACAGAAAGAGATAGAGACAATAGAAAATTTAGAGTATTCTGATTACGTGTACCTCTCAAATTGTTCAAAAGTTACACGTTCATTGGCGCATCCAAGTTCAACCATTTTACAAAATAATGCCACACTCATATAACGAGGTAAACCACATTCTCTTGTGATTAATCCAAAGTGAGACCGATTTAGGCAATTATTTGAAGTTATAAATATTTCCTGGACCTTGATCTAAAAAAAAAGCAAATGAGAAAATGCATTAATCGTAAAATTTAAATCATAAACATTACCAAAACAGATTCAGGTCGATTTTCTTGAATTTTTGATATAACCGGAAAATAAAATCGTGGAATTACAGGCATCTATTATATTTATTTATTGTAGAAAATTTAGAAAATTTGGATATTAAAATTTGATGTAGATATCGTTTCGAGAGTGCACGTGATGAAAGCTGATTTTTTTTATACACCTTATCGATCGAGTTTCTTATAGTGATAGCTTTTTTACTCATTTTATTTATACCAGTACGTGATTCTCTCGTTTCAAAAGAATTATTAGGGCCATTGAAGGATGACAATGAAGAATACAGAGTCTTATTGACGGATGATGATTGAGAATATTGAGACTCGTTATCATAAATGTTAAAGCGATCTCCAAGAGCAGTTGTTGGTGATGATCCAATAAAATGTGGTAGCACATCTATTACATCAGTAAAAATAGACACTCTATATAATTTAACAAGAGAAATTGTCAACGCAAGCTCTCTTTAAGAAGTACAAACCTGATGATTCATTAATTGTATCTAAACTCCTGAATCTTTTCAAATGTCTAAGGTTCGAGGCGCTAGAAAATGGATCTGTATCCAAATTAGGTAAAATAGATGACATTAATTTAGTTGGATTAATGGGATTCATTGGATTAGTTGGGTTAGTTTGGTTAGTCGGGTTAGTTTGGTTAGTCTGGTTAATTGAGTTAGCCGGTAATTTGTTAATGAAAATATCATTTTGAGCACTCTGTTGGTAAGTAGTTTTCGAAAGCATTATGGTTCAATAAAAAAATTATGAAAGATTGTAAAAAAATTGATAAAAAAAAAAAAAAAAAAAATCAAGTGGATCACAAGCCAAATGAATGAAAAGATTTTTATATAGTTTAAAATGTTTTGCATAAAATATATATATATATATTTAATTACTCTCCATTATTTTTTGCACACGATTAATATAAGCAAATACTTTATACAATTTGTTATATTTATAAAATTTTTCTCGATTAACAACTATAGATTTTATTCTTAAAAAAAAAAAAAAGGCCCAAAAAAGAAATCAAAAAAACATGGAAGGTTGATTTTTTTTTTTTATTTTCCGAGGGAAGCATATCAAATATTAAAATTATATGTATATATTATGTAAAAACTTTGCTATTATAAGTTTAAACTAACGCTAATGATACTTAAAACAATTATAATATTTGACCCCTTGGGAGTCTATTAAGAGAGCTTTTACATTTCACAATCGGTATCCAATCAGAAATAAGGAAAAACTAGCATGATTTTAAGCGTAAGACTTGCTTATGTCATTATGTATATAATAACCGAGCAATTATCGATACTAGCGTTCCTGGTGCTTGAGTCATACTTCTATAATAAGAGTTCCATGTGTATTATCAATATGGTTAAATAATTACTTTTTAAAACCCACGTTTTTACTCATACAACTATGAAATTAAACATATTAAAGTTAACGTTAAACAGTTAATTACGTAATATTCATTATTTAGTTATCAATTTAACATTAACGATAATGATAAAGCATTTCATGATGAAAACGATGAAATTATGAGCTCTCTAAGTTGTCTTTGATAAGCGATTTGTCAAAAGACAATACCCCTAATGTCTTTAATTTATAATTACCCAATTAATATTGTTTCTACTAGGATCACTATTATTAGAAAAAAGACAAGGAATTTCAAATGTTTATACGTAATTCGTTAATAATAAGAACTCTAATTAATTATTATACTGAATGCCAAAGTTTATTTTCGAACATGACAATCTATGAAATTATGGTAACTAATGCTGAAATTGAATTATGAAATTTTCTACCAGAATTATGGATTTTATTAGGACAGCATATACAAAATCGTTATTTTTGACAGACTCACAATATTCCAACGAAAGAATTAATTCTATAATAAGAATATTACATAAATCTTGATTTTTTTGTTTCTTAAAATTGTCGACGAGTTGTTTGATTTTTCTTGCCTTTAAAAGATTAATGGCGCCATAGAAGAAATTTTCTAATCATTTTAACATATATATATTTGAATTCTGATAAAATAAATAAATAGTTAATATCCTTAAGGTTTAAAAGAAATATTGTATTTTGAGAAATAGGGCCCATAAAGAGCAGTGTCCCTCACAACTGCTTTCGAGATCTCCCCGGTGACGCATCTCATTAGACATATGAAATTATATCCTTAACCTGGGGAGATTTCCTTATCAAAATCAGCCAATATGTAAAATAACGTTCACTCCATGTACTATATAGGGACATACAAATTTAATTTTTGTGATTATAAATTAAAAATGCTTGTCAATGGTTCAAAGGGTTATCTGCCACGTGTTACAATTTAAATCGACCCTAGGATCTAATAGACTTATCATTAGTTAATAAATTCCATGATCAGGTCCTAAAATAAATTTAAGAAATTTTCACATCGATATCAGATTCGTGTAATGCTGTAATGTGTATGTCGAATTATTTTCAGAAAATTTTGCACGTAATCTTTCGTACTTAGCAAAATTTCATAAATAGAGCATAAATGAAGATACGGGATTTACTAACTGTTTCCTGACATTTAAATGAGTTACATATCGAACTAATCTGTACCGGATTTAAGATATTCAGATCGTGTATTCATGTCAAACCTCAATAACGATATATATAGATAATCCACTTATTAAATCACGAAGTGACATCACTATCGCGCTGATTGGTCGAATTTTGTGTACCTTTGTACTTAAGATACTTCAGTTATTCGATGCAAAAAGAAATTTCCTGATATGGTATTACCAAGAATGCAACAGGTGCTAACGCTAATAGTGATAGCGATAAAGCTATTATTGTATTGGATTTTATAGATATATTAGAACTATTAGAAATAATAGCTAACGCTAACAAAATGCTTTAAAATATAAATAGCCTCGTTATTTCTCTGGTAAAATCAATGGCTCAACAACTCGATAATTAATAAAGAGAAATAGTGTCTTCATATACAAGTAACTCGAATAAATTATAAATTTGTTGTGACTACTTTTATCTTCATATACACTTAGCTGTTTGCCTCTTTCGCATAAAATACGGTAATTATTTAACACATAAGTCGCTAAAGTAAATTAGTTATATCCGACTTGGAAGAGGTAGTTCGGATGTAACAGTACATAAAGGTTTTAGATACTATTAAATTCGTTATTGATCCCAAATCGATGATAAGCTTGATGACTTGATGCGAGTATGAAAATTCGTTAATTTGAGGGAAACGTTCCACTTACTCTGGTAATTTTAGATATATTCTATTTGTGTCAAAAAAACATTCCAAGGAAATTATAAAAGCTCTTTCCTAACATTGAATATAACGTAATGCTTATTATGTTTAATGCGGTCGGTTATAAAATTGGTTCTTTAGTCATTAACTTTACATAAGATTGATTCGAATTATTCCATTAACAATTAAATAAATTTGCATTCCTATATAAGAATTGGTTCATATAATTTTTTACGATAATATTCTAAATAAACTTTGTTGATTTTGTGTTATATGGTCTTGAAGCCATCAACATTCATCAACTTTTCCAAATTTTCCAAAATTAGAATGGGGTATGAATAATATCAAAAGCTTGCTTGTTAGTGCGCAAAAGGCGATTTAACAGAATTACTGAATTATGGGAAAGTCTCTGGTTAACTGTGTGATATGATTTATTTGTATAGTCTAATTGATATATAAAGCTTTTTTTTTTTATCGAGTATATTGACAACCAACTTATTCGATTAATCGAGCTAATAACATATCGATATACGGTAGTTTATTGACACAATATATACAGATGATTTAACTATAAAAAAATGTACGTACGTACGTACGTACGTTGTACGTAACAGGTAAAGGTATTTCACAGCCATATATATATATATATATATACATAATGATGACTATATTTTTTTTCTTTTTTTAAAAAAATATACACGCTATCACACAATTTGAATGTTCTGATAATAATGTATTTTACTAACTTCCATCCTCTACTATAACTTGTTTACCATTGCTATTTACTATTTCCTACAATATTTCCGATAACATTTCCAGCAACATTTTCGGCAATATTTTCAGTAATATTTTCAACAATACTTGAATCTTTTTATTCACTAGATGAAACTAAATTCCCATTACTTCCAACACCTCCCCCATTACCAATGTGTTCATTACCCGTTTCTTCATTTCCACCAAAGAAAAAGGCGTTGAATTCATCACCACCCATACAACCGTATAATTCTTGCATAATAATACCCAAACTTTCCAATTCTCTAATAACATCTTCCATAACCAAGACATAAGCGTAATAAACAATATAATGTTCATCATTACCTTCAACAACTCGTTTCCTAACCACAGGTAAATCTCGGATTTTCTTCAATAATTGTCTACGAGCTCTTTCTGCTGGTGGTAAATATGGTGGCAAAGGTGTTTTCAATCGTAGAGCCGCAGCAAGAACATAAAAATACAATAAAACATTTCCCACTAATTCCCTTCTTTCTTCTGCAATTGGAACAATAAAATCCTTTCTAACTATGGAATACCATTCTTCTTTTGTTACAGCTATTCGCATTGATAACAATTTATCCAAAATATTTTGACATCCTATTAATATCTGACGATATGTGCTAACTGGAAATGGTCCTTTCATACGTGGCTCATTAGGTGTTTGCTCTAATAAACTATGTAATCTTAATAACGAAATTTGAAGGAATAATTCCATCTCCATAAATTCTTTGGTAGAAATTGATAATCGATTTTTTATCATTACTGATACATGATTGGGATTTGATTCATCTTGAACTTCTGATGGTACTGAATAAATGGCCACTAATTTTTTATATAACCATCCCATGTTAACAAATAATTGACTTAACCCTTTTCGGAGTTCTACACGAGCTTCATATGGCCACCAATAACTTGTTACTAATACTCCCCAAACTACACCCGTACCTACTGCTATAAATCTATATAAAGCTATTTCTGAAATTTCAGTGCTTTTAGAATTACGTATATTATACTTGTATAACGAAACCAAGTTATATGTTAATAAACCAAATCGACCGATACGGTTGTATTTCGTGTATAACATTAAGTGGAAACAAACCAAAGCAATAACAAAACCAAATATGGAGAGGATGACTGGATCTTCGGAAAATTGTAAATCAATTATCCATGCGAGAAAACATCCTAATAATGTGCCTAAAATTCGATATACTCCCATAAGGTTTGTACCACCTACTGTTGGAACCATGACTACCATCATCTAAAAGAAATTATTGAAATCATTATTAACGTTAACGTTAATAAATTTAAAAACAAATATTAATAGGTTTCAAAATTTATTAACAATTTTCGCGAAATTTGGATGATAAATGAAATCTAAAAATCCTATTGGTTAATCCTAACCCAACGGATGCATTACATTCGCGACAATTTTTAATAAACATACTATCATATGCATTCGTTCCTAGTATTAATTAATTAATTAATAGACTTACCGTAATGCAAACCCATTCACCTCGAAATCTAGCGTATATACCTCGTGTTGATTCAATGAATGCGGGACTTGCCAAAATAGCAGCGCTAACAGCTGCCTTGACCGCATATTTAACTTCAAATTGTCGAAACCAAGAGAATGATTGCCAAAGTTTGATTGCAAGTTTTTGTGGAAGGGTTTTAGGTTTCGGTGTTTGAATTGTATCAAAAAGGTTATGTGTATTTTCGGGAAATTTCTTTGCATTGTCAGTATAAAAAGTATTTCGAGAAAACCAAGTAGAATATCTCCAAAATTGCCACCATCTCCTTCCTTCTCGTCTTTTTTGTTCACTTGCATCAATTCTTGAAATATTGTCAGTTAAATCAACCAAATAGGATAATTCTCTAGTAAATTCTTGTAAATTGAATACAAAAAAGTATATGAGGAATACTTCTTCATTAGGTCTGTCATCGAAATAACTTTTTGCTGTCCTTTGCTTATAGAGTTTAGTGAGTGCACGAGATTGAGACTTTTCAAATAATTCTAACGCTGAATGAAGATTTTGTCTGAGTAATGTAAATGAAGGTTTTATATTGGCATATGATTTATCTGTTTCAACAAATTGTTCTTGAAGATGAAAAAGTGTTTGTTTACAAGTGTACGCAAGAGATTTCATGGGTGGGCCCACATGACGTATGAGTTCTAGTAGGACCTTTAAATCGCATGATTCTTCATTTTCACCTGGTTTATTATTGGAAGTTTTATCTTTATCCTTATCTTTAGAGTCTTTTATGATTTCCCATTGAAGCCCACAACAACTTCTTAAACCACCTAAATGTTGTGCTAATCGAGTTAAACTTTCTACAACTTCTTCATATAACTGAATCTTTTGTTGCATATTTCCATTATGTATCTCAAGTGACGCTTGTCTTAATATCTCACGAAGTGATGTAAAAGTCCCACGATATGATTCAATCGCAGATTGTACAGATTTATCCGTGTAATTTATATCATCAACTAAGAAAGTTTTTGTAAGGAGTTTTAATAGGAGACGAAATGAATCAAGAGTTTTACTGATTTCATTCCTTATTTTAAAGATGAGAAATTTTAAAATAGTTAGAGAATCATGAATACTATATGATAAAAAAAATGAATAAATTAGCGTAAATTAAATATTGCCTACCCTAATTGCTTGCTCGCACTGACAGGCCAAATTAACACAGAGACAAGAAAACTAATTAATACACCAAAAAAGATAATTTTCGTAACTTGAAAAATCAAATCCATTTCAAATGTTCGTATATGTGGACCACCTTCTCTGGTTATAGATATAAAAATGATTATATTTGCCAAAGAACAAGCTAAAAACATGAAATTTAACGTGAGAAATTTAAGAAAATCAGAAAAGATATTAAAATGAGGTAAACTTACCACTATTAAAAGATGCTTTATTAAATTTTGCTTTACTAAAAGCAACGATGAACATACTTCCTCCACACCAAAGTACGACCGAGATGATATGTCCCAAAGTATTCATATTATGTTCATTGAACCATATTGCACATAACATACTACAAACACTAACACTCATGCCATATAAACCGCCTATAATTGCATAGAAAACAGCTTCGTATATCCCACCGAATGATTTTGCTGGATCAAAAAACACCGAAACTGTTGCCACAAGATGTGTATTATATGATTGAGCAAAACCGCTAGATTCGTTTAGATACGGGACATATGTGAATAATGACGCAAGAAAATAAGCCAATGCACATTTAATGATATTTTTATGTTTTAGAGTTAATAAGTTTGTTTGCATCCAATATTTGGCTCGTTGAAAGCAGGATGCGAAAGAATTCGTGTAACCATATTGTTTATCCGTATCGACACGTTCTGAATCAGAGTCCGAATTGTAACCATTAAGTAATGGTGTACTTTCCTCCAATAAAATATTTGGTCTAATTATTTGAATTTGAATATATAAATTTTAATCATTCTTAAAACTCACACATAAAACTTATGAAACAAACCTTGAAGGTTCAGAGGTTAAAGAAATTCTCCTTCTTTGTAATGAACCATCATCCATGATAACACTGGATATGCTAACACCGGATATACTAACACCATCGTCATAATTTGGAGACGTTAATGCAATAGGATCTTCAAAACTCTCATCATAAGTAGGCGACAAATTATCCTGATAATATCTTAAAGCATTCCAAGGAACTCTCTCACTGGAAAAGGAAGCTGAATAAGAACCAGGTGTGGTTGAATATTTACCATGACTACGTGCAGTTCTACGAGCATTTGGTAAAGTATTTGAATGTGATGGTAATCGTAAAGAAAAACTTGCACCCCTCCGCGAAGATAAAGGTTCATCATTAGGTGAAGTTGGATCTTCAATTATATGACCATGACTTTTGCTTAATTCACTTTCATCATGTGGACTCTCTTGCCCAAATGATTGAGAGTGTTCGACTAATGATCCATAATTTCTATGTAATATTTGGTCTGGTGAAAAACTATCGGGTATGATATCTAAGTTATTATTTAAGATAAGAATAAAAATATATAACAATTAACGTGTATGTACCTAACACTACGACCTGATGGACCATTTATTGATGTATTTGCGCTCGTTTCGAGCCGATTTTTTCCAGTATTGACCGATATTTGTTGTTTACTCATTATAAGTTAATGCAAACAAGGCATTAAGAAAATTCAGGGATGACAAAAAAGTGTAGAAATAAATAAATTTTCTAGTATGACCAAATTAAGACGTTGCATTCTAACCGATCATGATGTAATCAAATCACAAAATCGTTCATGATGCTCATGTTGTACAATTTAATAAGGCATTTGCAAATTGTCACAATGAATTTCCGCCCCTTACACTTTTAGATTAGGTTATGCTACAAATAATAGATCACGACTATTACGATTGTTTTTTCTTATCAATTTGTAATGGTTTCCCTTATCGTTATTGTTTCAAACTATTTTTGTGTATGCTGTGTTTAAATTTCTGTCTTCGAAATGTTGGCAAGTAATAAATGGTCAAGAGTAAGAATGTTCACAATATCTAAACCTAAACTTTAAACAATCTATATATTGTTATAGTTCACCCTCTCAAATCCGATATGCAGCTTTTGAGAATTTATCGGATTTAAGATACTTTCCAGGATCGCAAATAAAATTTTTACCACCACGTGATATTCGACAAAATTTTTTACGTTAGTTTATGTTAGGGTTAAGGCCTATTCGAATGTTAAAGTTAGAGTGCTTACTGTAAAATCGTTCAAGGATAACTTTTTGCTAATGCGCAGATGGTGGTTTCCTATGCAGATTTCGAGTTATAAGCGATTTGTGACAAAACGAACGTTTGTCTTAAATTCTGATCGCGTAACGTTAAACCACATTATTGCAGTATTGGATCATTTTCGTCGATCATCACGTGATGGTAAAAATTACATACAGTACCGGACAGTAAAAAAAAACTTTACCTCTCTATAACTTTTTTAAACCAAACTAAATCAGAAACCTCTGACAAATTGATAGATTTTTAGCTAAACTACATTTTACCAGAGGATTTTTTCCTTAATTAAAGTTTATAATTGTTTAAAAATTTGGCGTTTAATATAAAAAAAGATATATATTTAATTAACCAATCATAATCAATTACACAAAAGTAGTAACTTGGCGCTCTATATATAGTATTGGAGTAATTTTGTTGGCGATCCTGGGGTAGTTGCTCATGGCGTTGCATCGCCACCAAAATTTTCACGCTCACGTGATATGCGAGAAAATCGTTAAAGTTCATTTATGTAGAATTAGGGTTAGTATGAGGGTTAGAATTTAGTAGTCAATATAGTAAAATTGCTCGAGTGAATTTTTTGTTAGAGCGCAGAAGGTAGTTTCTTATGCTAATTTTCGGGAAACAAGCAATTTTCTCAAAACGAATGTTTGAATTTTCCTGATTGTGTTACGTTACATCAAATTACGATCATCTATTGGATAATTTCTGTAGATCTTCACGTGAGCGTGAAAATTTTGGTGGCGATCCTGGGCCATAGGTAGACTTTCGTATGATTGGCTGTTTAAGTCAATTTAATTATTCATACAGTTTAAAGTACTTTTTAAAAAAAAATCAAACTGCGAAGAATAAACAAAAAAGAAGTATATAAAAGGGTTTATTAGAGTTGTGGGACTCCATTAAAAATAATCAAAATCAATTTTGATTTTAGAGAAGTTAACATAATAGCAACTTCTTAAAGATAGATAGAATTAGGTTATTACCATGCTAACTTCTCTAAAATTTTTAATAGCGGAGTCCTACAATCCTATTACAACTTTCTATAAACTTCTTTTTTGTTTATTCTTCGTAGTTTGATGTTTTTTAAAAAGTACTTTAAACTGTATAAATAATTAAATAGACTTAAACAGCCAATCATACGAAAGTCTTCACTAATGGCCCCACTAGTCACATGATTATAAATAAATATAATTGGCTAGAACATGATTATAAATAAATATAATTGGCTAGATTATATTTATTATACATATGTTGTTAGTTGGATTTGGGGATTTGTAAACTTTTTTTTATTTACATTATTTTTTTTTTATACTAATCTAATCAAAACTTTGGATGATTCATATCTTGTATTAAATTATCGATCATGCAATCTGAACTTGATTTATATTTTCACTGAAAATTTAATTAAATATTATCAACGCCTCTGAATCAAATTTTTAATTTTAATTCAAAAATCTAGATAAGCATATTATATATATCTTAGGTAAGTACATCTAACAAATCCCAACTACTTACTACTTTGCCGATGATCAGGAGGAAAGGTTATTTAAATAGTGCTGTGTTTAATGCTTTAAATTGATTATTTCAAAATGTATAATAAAAAATTCATAATTATTAATAATTACCATTTAAAAATATGTAGGATCTTTTCTAAACATTACCCCAAGAAACTATGACTTCCCTAGCAAAACCCATACATGCTGATTTATTCATCATCTACTATACCTAATATATACCTAATATCTGACGTTAAACGTTTATTCTTTGCCCTTTTGAATACACTATACAATCATTTTCATATTCATTGTTCTAGCAAATGTTAAGTCCGCAATAATTTGATCACATCTGATGATTTATCTATCTTAATAAAATCACGCCCTAAAACATTTATCTGTTGTTAATAACCAACTCTAAAAACTGAATTATAAATGTGTTAAATAAGGCTGAGAAACAAAAACAGATTGAATGGACATTAAATGTTATTTAAGTACCTGCTCATAATTAATTAAAATCCAGCCATCGTTATCTGTATCATAACGTCGGAAAGCATCTGTAAGGGTCTTGATAGTCACGCATGATTGCTACATAAAATAGATCATTTTTATATAAGGCTCTCAATATTTATTTTAAATTTAAAGAATTTAATATATACGTACCACAAAGTTATCAAAAGTTACATCCCCTCTTCCTATTGTTTTTGTGTACGCATTTATACATATTAATAATCTCTTTGGACATTACTAATTAAAACAGGAATACTAACTTACCATATTTATCATACTTTTTAAGAAGCAAGCTAATAAAATTATCGCTTAAATTATATCCAAATGTTTTTAGTGCAGTTTTAAGCTCTTGAAAATTAATAGTGCCTGATCCGTCAACATCAAATTTTTGAAAACATCTCTTCCAATCTTCAATGTATCGCCAAAGTCCAACAAATTCGGAGAAGTTTATCGTTCCACTATTATCTTTAAAAAAAAAAAATAAGTAGTAATTGTTAGCATAAATAAAATTACAAATCCATCAATTTTTAGTGAATATTAGTTATTCTTAGAATACAAATTATAGTAATAATGCAACTTTTTGAGTCGTTGAACATCAATGAGATTTGTTAATATATACCAGTGTCAAACATATTCATCATTAATCGAACAGTTTCAAGGTTAAACGGACTCCAATCACCTATTAATTTGGAAGAATAAAATTAGCAAAGTTAACAAAAATCATCTAAATTTTTAATGTTGAAGCAGGTAAGGACCTAACACGGGTTGAGTCAGATACTATTTACAGACCAACAGGTCAGCCAATCCGACTCATTTCAACACTGTTAAAGCTTGTGCATACCATTAATCAAAGCCCTTTGTAATTCTTCTGTGGTCAAGGTTCCACTTTTGTCAGTGTCTACAGCTTGGAACCAGAAATATAATTGAGGATCAGCGCCAGGTGGAAGATATGGTTGACTATTCAATGGAGACTGAGCTAAAAAAAAAGAAAGAAAAAAAAAAGATAAATTAAGCTGTACTAAGTTGAGTCCTTGGCTTTCATAATATGAAAATGTCACAAAAAGACCCGGCCGGCCGGCTTTTTTTTTTTTTTTTAATTTTATATATAAATATAAGAATCCCCCCACGTAATAGAACAAAAAAAAAAATTGTTAAAAGTTTCAAATTTTGACTCGGCCGGGCTATGAAAATAATTCTATCTGGACTTAAAGATTTAATACAAACTATATTGTGGGATTGATCCAGAAGTCGGTGGTTGAGAGCCCTGTCGTGGTGGTAATGGTGGGCCAGAATTTAGTGATTGAGGCACATATCCGCCTTGTGAAGGTGGTTTACCGTATACTTGTTGATTATAATAAGACATTGAATGTAAGAATTTAAGCACGTTTACAAACGGCCGGCTATTGAATTAGTTTATATATCAATATGTATATCTGATATGTCGTGTATCGGTTTACGTAATTGCTTGATCATATGTAAAACGCCTTATAAATTAGACAAGAACAAAATATTTGATTGCCAAATTTCCTCCTGACTATTTACTTCGTGTCATTTGATTTGTTTCGTATTAGAAGCAAACACTGATTTTGTAAAAAAATTAGAAAATTCTAAATATTATAACGCGTTTAAAAAAAATGTGTGTAATATATAAAATTAACCAATAACAATACAGAACTGTTGTAATAAATTTTTTTCATGCAAACATAATGCTGTTTACAAAATTCAGAGTTACGCTATAAATAATATAAACAAACCTTACTATTGAATGATATCTTATGGGTTTAAATAGCATTTTCTAATGTTCTTTAGCTCTATATTTTTTATAAATTATTACTACTAAAGGGATGTTCTATAGAATAGATGGGCAATATAAGAGTAAGATTCGCTAATGATTAGTAATCATTAATTTTTTTAATAGCGGCGTTGCGGAGTTTGCGGAGTTTGCCACCTCTATTCTATAGAACATCCGTATCGGATATATAGTAAATATTAATTATAGTATTTGGCTAGTTTTTAAAATATAACAATTAGGAAAACAAAATTTTAATTTCGAAGAGGTAAATTGCTATTAAGGCAGGTTATAAGTTTAGATAAATTATTGTTAAGCTAGATTTACTGTAAAATATATATAGAATTTATAGTTTTATATATAGTTATTCTTTTATATTTACACAATTAGACATATTTTAATATAGTGATTATAAAGAAATAGGATTTTACAAAAATATTTTTATATAAGCATAATTTTAATTAGTCTAAAAAATGTATATAATTAAAGAAAATTACTATGATTAACAGGCTGTGAAATTCACACCCCCGTTTCAAAAAAGTTTTTTATTTAAGTTAGGGTTGGGTTAAAGTTTTAATAAATAACA